AATTTTGCTCATCTCCATCAAAAAAATAGTTCAAAAAGCTATATATATATATAGTTTTAATATATGCACACATATGTACATATATATGTAGCTTTCCCTGAATGCCAATAACTTGGAAACCAARTATCTTTTCCTCAAAAATATGAAAGTATTTTTGTATGTTTGGGCTAAGACCCAGCTTGGGATGCTACCATCTCAAAGATGCATTTTTTAGCATAGCATGACTACATCGCAGAAGGGACTATAATTATAATTTTGACATTACCATAACGACCGTGGTTGCTATCAGGTGACAGGTATAATATGGATAATCAGTAGAAGGTACAATAGCAATATTTAATGATGCATGAGATGGAAGAAAATTAAWTCATGCCTTTAATTCAGCTCAGATCCATCATTTGTTATATTTGAGTGTGACTTTCCTGATTCTGTTAATATGTACAAAACAGTTACAATAAACAGCAATGAGCCAAGCAAGATAAATCTACTGCAGTATCCAGAGAGTTTACATTCACCACTCATATACAATGAATATATTTTTTGCATGTTTCTATTATACTGTTAGGGCTTCTTTTGACATGATAGATAGATACCACTGTCTTAACACCATACCAAAAGGAAAAAAAAAAAAGTCCTAGCAAAGGTATGAAAAACCTCTTTGCCTTGCAGGCAGCTGAAAGCAGTAATGGGKCCATCTCTCTCTTTTTGTATGTTGCAATCTACCAGCTCCTTGATGCAGTGCTCCTAAGAGAGAGAAYGCTGCAAATTAAACAAGCCTGAATTGGAACAAAGGGGTTCTCCTTAATGAAACAGGGGCAGTTATTCTTACTAGAATGACCAGAAGGAGAAATTTCTGTGGAAGAGGTTTTTCTCAAGAACATCAAGACCTTCTCTAGCCACCACATCAGAGACAAAGAGGACCAGTGGGCCCCTTCAGAAAGGAAGGTAAATGCCACATGCACCTGCACTAAGCTCCGCGATGGCTCACACCGTAAGCCGCTCTTGAACAYGAGGCAGCCCTGCTCCTGCCAGAGCCCTTCCAAGGGAAATAGCCTTGGTTCTTTGTACCATGGTCCTTGAATCAAAGCAATGAGGTGCCACACTGCTCCTTTTCTAAACAATACAAATATGGGTTTCATCTGCTGTCACTTCTGAAGTGGCAGCAAAAGCTTTGAAGTAGAGGCTGATCTCACAAATACAAGGATAAAAAAAGAAAAGGCATTTAAAGAATGCTCTAAGTTTTGGGGAAAAAAAAAAGTTATTCATAATATTTTGCTTCAGAAAGTCAAAACTTCAGACCTGAAAGTAGCCACAAGCAGTTTTKGGGGGGTTATTGTGTTTCTAGCTTTTTTGCTTCGTGAATAACCTGAATACTTGTTTGGACTAGATGTAGTGCACAGAGCGCACAGGATCTCTTCCATTGGGAAGCTTCCATACCTGATATATATGAGAGGTGATCCACACCCATAAACAGGGTTATTTTCCTCCAGAGTTCATATCAGAAAAAGCCATTAGTAGCATATTGATTTGTGTACTTGCATAAAGGTATGTGAGGTCACTTTYTGTAAGTTAATCATAACAAGCTCCTTAACTACAAAGTGATACCTCCAATTTCTCTTTAATCATATAGAAATATCAGTAATACAGAGATTACTTGCAATGAGTCTCACTCTTGCTCTACACAGGAAAAATCAAAACAAAAAAGTACTTTCAACCCCTACTTGGTCTTAAACAGACATATAAGTATATGGGACTCATCCCTCAACTCCTCAGTTTTTGTTGACTTGTCTCCCAAGCCACTGCTCAGGGTTCCCTGGTCAGCAGGATCAAGCATTAGCCCCTCAATGAAGGAGGTTACAGTAAATACTGAAGTAAAAGAAAAAGAAAGAATAAAGAAATTCTTACTTCGGTAAATGATGACAGTGCATGAGAAGGATTGGCATAAGAGACGAAAAAAAAGTAGCATTCTTAGAACTTAAAGTCACGAGAAAAGCTATTTTCGCTCCCTTTTAGAAAAGGGACTTCTGAATTTAAAGAATACTGCAATAATCTAGTTATGTGATTTAAGATGAAATAGAAGAGTAAAGTATATGTTGTCACTTTTTTCTTTAATGAAATGCTACACTTAAATGTCTTCATTTGAAAATAATCTATATGTGGGTTTTTTAAAAATAGCATCAATTTGGTGGTTAGRAAAAAAAAAAGGTTCACAATGTGCTTATGGCTGACTGAATCTGGAGGTGAACTAAGATCTTATTGCAGCTTTTAACGCCAGTACTGCTGGTGAACGTAACCTCCACGAGCACACTGGTGCAATCCACACATTAGCCTTTTTGACTTAAGAGCTTAATAAAAAGCATACAATGCTTAAAAGAAATTGGGAATAGTTATGTAGTCTTACCTCTTAAGAAAAGCACAGAACCATGCTTCCTGGCACACATACGGAGTCTAGTAACTAGAGATGGGTTATTTCACCACTATCCCAGGTGACTTTTGGCTTTCAGACTTGTCTGTGCTGCTTCTCAGCATCACACTGTCAGCACCTTGTCYCGACACCTTCACCTCCTCTCATCACACTTGCCCTGGCTCTTTTTGCTTCTTGAATATTTTTACTGTGCCTTTATTTTGGACAATGACTATCTGCGTTTGGCAAAGTCTGTATTACTGTAGTTAACTGACTGCCCAAAGCAGCTCTTTGCCTCTTCACCTTAAATTAAAAGCAACTTTGCAAGTTCTAATCCCAATCCTTTCTCTGTAAGCTACTTCACAAATAACTATATTTCTGCCTTAGGATGTTAGTATGATGCACTGCAMTTTTACCTCAAAAAAGCAGATCTCATAGGGAAAGGCTCAGTTTCTGCAGGGGCAAACTACAAAGTGGCCCCTACAGGCAGCTTGATGCAGGTGCTGGTATCGAAGGGATGTTTTTAAGCCATATTAGTAGCCACTACAATTCATCAGACCTATCGCTGACTCYAAGCTGCTCTCTTTTCCAGAAGCCCTGAGAAAACAGCAAGGGAATAGGCACTCGTTTCACATGAATAATGYGACTGACCTGTTGTATAAAGAAAACCAATGTTTTGGTAAGGTTACAGCCATTACCTGATATACACGAAGCAACTCACCAACCATTTCTGGAAGTTCTAAGCCRGACTCAAAGCAACCTAGTTGGAAGAGCTTCAGAGCAAAGGAGAACTTTGCTTGAATCATCGATGGCATTTCCCACAATCTTCCTTTACACCTCTTAAAGGATTGGTTGGTTGAAACACTTTATAGGATAACTGGCACCTCCAAGTTAGTTGTCTGAACACAACAGAAATTCATAYTGAAGAAAAGTCACCATCAAATTGCAGTGGATGCATTTGAGTGAGATGCACAAAGTACAGCAGAGATACCAAAATCTGAGAACCAGATAATTTTCTCAGACAAGAAGAGCTGGTTATACAGAACCAACAGGACTTGAGCTAGGCCAAGCTTCCATTATCATTTACCAGAGACTACTCACACAATAGAAATATAAAGAATATGGCTGTAGAACAAGGCATACAGGGCTTGTCTGAATATCTCAGAGACTGAGATCTGAAGTTGGGATAATTATTCTTAATTACTTTAAACCAAAATTTCTGTGTAGTGCTATTTTTAAGTCACCTGAGTATATTAAAACAGTCAAAGATACATAGTCAGATATAATTGCATCTAGCTTTCCAAAAGATTTCCAGCTGTTCTCTGGAATTAATGCATAGCATAAGGATAGCTGACTGAAGTTTTGTACACAATAGCATTTTTATACATATTTGCATTTGAAACATTTTCAATATAAAACACAGGCATTTCAGATTTAACTTGCATGCTCTTCTGTAAGGGACCAAATCCAGAAGTTCCAGTTATTTAATGCTCGGACGTTGAATTCTGAAACAGGTTATTGCTTTAATTCCAGACTAACATGTTTCATTGCTGAAAAAACAAGATTTTTAGTCTTACTGTTTTAAATGTTTCTTCTTTTGCTTATGGGCCCAAGCAGTTTTACCAAATGTCTAATTCCTTTAGATATTTTAGATAGTTGTGATGCTCATCCTTTGCTGAGTTCAGGCTCAAAGATTATTTCATAGTAGAATGAGATCTTAGCCCTGGGGAGTAGCCTTAAGTTTAGCTTTATTTTGGCAGTAACCCTGGATATATTCCAGAATTGATATAGCTGGAACAGCGGGYGGCTGGAACAGTCCTTCCTCTTCTCCATTTGCACCACAAAGCTGGCAAAAGTGCAGACACTGTGATTAGGATGTGAGATTAGATTGAGGATCCTCCACTTACAAAGATAAGTGCACAGTGTTCATAAAATAAACCTTGCAAACCTCTGGTCTCCTTGATGCTGCCACTCGGGCGGTATATACTGTCTGCACAACATGAAGTAAATAAATAAATAAATAAATAAATAAAAGCTTCAGGCTCTAGAAAACCTCTCCTACTTTTCCACATGTTCTCGTATAAGAATAAAGCTGCTTTCACTTTGTGTTTGCCAAAATACGTGGGTTTGTTTGTTTTAATTTTGGCTTTGAAGCCCTGGCTTCTTGTTTTTGTTGAGCCCTGAATTCAGACACAATCATTTTTGTTATGATGGCAACTTTGCTATTTAGAGAAATAAGATAAGGGTATGGGAATTTCAAATGCATCATACATAGCTGCCCCACAGGTTTTTTGGATCACGAGAGAAAAAATAAAGTCCTCTTTTCCTCTTAGAGCAATTTTGCTGAATCTCAACCAACTCCAGGTAAGAGAAGCATGGAACACTACAACAGATGGCCACATGGCCTTATACTTTACTGCTCATGGAGGGAGACGTGTTCTTCATTCCCTGTTACTGTCTCACAGGTCTAACATCATCTTGAGAGCTGCTGAAGTTGAAATCATTCCCAGCACCCAACACAACAAACTTCAATGCTCCCACAGCCCTATCTTCGTTCTCAGACTAACGTGGTTTAGATGCTACAGCACCGATGGCTTTAACAAGCAGAGGTCACAAACCGCAGGCAGCAGTAGCTTCTCCCAGGCTTCTCCACAAAGAGGCAGTCATGGCTGGGCGCCRGCAGCACCCCCGAACCACAACCCCCAGCCGAGGAAGCCGAGGATACAAGGGGCAGCAGGTCCATTCCTGACCAAACCCTCGGGGCTGCAGTACTCACCAGAGAGCAGCTCCGCTTCCCGCCACGCTCCAAGTGGGAGGTGTTGCCTTTCCGCACGCTACGGAGAATCTGGTGGTTTATATTTAGCCCAGGCTGTGAAATCCCACTGTAACAATAACGCGTTTAACAGAAACGCCACAAAATGGTGGTCAAACAGATGATAAGGTCAGATGGAGAACTCTCATCCCCACACACAATATTTTTCACCGAGTTTGTTGCTGTAGGCAGAGGCCTTTGTCAAAGTGCCTGTTATCTAGAAAGCTTCCAAAATAAAGATTAAAAAAAATCCAAACCAGACTGCTAAAAATGGGGGGCTGGTTGTTTGCCACCATTTCCACAGGTGGCATCCCCCAGAAGCTTGTCCCAGAAGGTCCCCTGGAGCACAGGCAYGATATAAAGCTAAAAGAAAAGCAGCAGTTCCTTGTGGGAGGCTTGGGGTTTTTCGTTTGTTCGGAGCTTTTTTAAATGTTTGGGGTTTTTTTGTTTTGTTTTGTTTTCTTTTTGTGGCAAGGGACCTTCACCCTTTCTTCCCAAGCTCGCCCATTCCAGGGGAAAACCCCGCAGGCCGCCCTGACCTCGCTCGCTCGGGGGAGGCACGTGGTCCCGCCTCGCACCGCCGCCGTCGAGGCGAGGCCCGTTTCGGCGGCCGCGGAATTCACCGCCGTCCAGCGCAGCCCGAGGGCACGGAGGGAGCGAGGGAGGCGGCGGCCGCGGCGCGCGGGAGCCGCCTCAGGGCAGCGACGCCGCTGCCATGTCGC